TCAAGTTTCGCCCTTTAAAGGAAATTCGAAAAGCAGATAAAAAGGTACCTTTTTCTAACGCACCTGTCACTATTTACATGATTATTGATTCCAATAATTGAAAATGCAAATGCCAAATGACGCTATCACATCTTTATTTCTAACCAATATTACTATTGGCTAACAGTTTCATGCAAATTCCAAATCATGATTCCCCCCTGAAAAGTCACGTGACTACTGCTAATTATGTGACATATTAATTGTATTTAAACTTAATAGGGTCGTTTGTCTGGTGTTGCACAGGAAACTACTAGTATAAGCTGAAATAAAAATTATTGTATTATTGTAGCGGTATGGCGGTTAAAAATACACACGTTTTACTCTTCGATTACGTTTATTTGATCGCGTTAGGGTTCCTATTAAGATTACAATTTAACTATAGAATAGAAAACAATTAAAGAAAACGGAAAGCAAAAGAAATAGGAATGATTAATTACAAAACGATGTGTAGCTTAAGACGGTCGATGTTGAACTTAAAATTACTGAACTGAACTGAACTTTATACAAAGTGATATCGAACTTCTTTGTATGTGTTCAAACTTCCAAGGAAATATATGGAGCAATGTTTGATGTTGAGTGTATGACGTCACAGACTCAAAAAAATAATCGTAAAAATATCATACTTTCGTCCTGAATATTGAGAAAACACTTCATACAGTGATTATTGGACCTTTAAAGAGTATTCTTAGGAAGTTTCAGCTGAATCCAAGTTTGAACGATTTTCGTCATAGTAGCAATTTAAAACTGTATCCACAAGGATAATGTTGAACACGAAATGATAAATATTTGCTGTTATAATGTTTAATTTACCTTTAAGTTCCGTTACTAGATAGTAAATTAGGTGATTAGAGCCAATTTTTTTGTCAGACATCGACTAAACAATAGAGAAATATAGACAGTTTAAGAAACGGAACCCCCGTTTGAAAAATCCTGGATCCGCCACTGACTCTAACCATGAACACTTTGTGATTTTTTACTACTTTTTTTAACATACATCCCTTGAGTGAATCATTTAGAAATAAGTTGTCTATTGATCACATAGCATATTTGAGTTCAATCCTACTTTTTTAGAGGGTTTGAAGCAGTAAAAAGCTCAGAAAATATAAATCTGAATAAATTAAGTCAAGCGTTCGCGGTTCGAGTTTCTTCACTGTAAAAGACCTAAAAAATCCTTGCGAATTCATCTTTTTCTACCTCTTTCTCTCTCTCTAGATTCAAGAAATCGAGGCATTTGCAGAGTAATGTTGGTTAGTAACTTAAACTTACCGCTTGAATTAATTTTTAGTCTTTAAAGCTTCCCGACGAATCTGTCTTGTGTGTATCCAGATTCCCCCGTTGTTTATGCCCGTGCATACAAGTATAATAATATATTCAAGTTGCGTCGTGAGATAATTTTTGAAATCCACGAAATAGAAATAAACTAAGGTCGGCAATAACTCAAAAACATCGTCAAAAAGGCTTCAGTGAAATAATTGCATAAGATTTTTATAATTTTACTACAATATGTACGATATTAGCCATTTGTTTTTCCATGTGTTGGAATTATTAGGGGTATGGCTGGGGGTATAGCTGGGGGTATGGCTGGGGGTGTGTTTGGGGGAATGTACGTGGTTTAGCTACAGGAAGCCCGTAGACTAAATTTTCGTAGAACAAGCCATACAACGAAAGAAGTCATTGATAAGCCTCGAAACTTACCTCGAATTTGCTACCAACTATAAAATAAATATTAAAAAAAAAAGAAATGAATAATAAATGAATGAAAAATAAATGAATGAATGAAAAATAAACAAATCATTGAAGCAAGTAAAATATTATAGAGATAAAAATAATCTATCTTTATAAAATATATTTGTTGTATAATAATTAGTACCTTATGGTGATAATTGATAATTACTCTAATTAGGCACATTCGGGGATAGCTTAGATCAGAGAGGATGTGCAAATCAGTTCTTAGATGACACTCACACATTGAGCGGATAGTTGTGTYAAACAAATTGGTTTGTAAATCCACCCTCCCAACCTTGGAGGCCTTTCTTTTAGTTTATTGAAAGCC